GCCTGGCCCCACTCCCACGGATTCTGCTTTATTTGACGTCAGATGGGGTTCAGGATTTGCTGTATTTTAAAAGCTCCCCAAGGTAATTTTAATGTGTAGGCAAGGTTGGGAATTACTGAACTATAAAGACCAAGCAATGGCTTGTGTACATATAAATATGATAGATGAGTAAATAAAAAAGTCCTTCAAATCAGCAGGAAAAGTTATTGGGACAATTACCTTAGGGGCAAAAATAAAGCTAGATCCCTTACTAAATCTAAACAGAAATAAATTCCAGACAGATCAGAATTATGACACAAAATAAAGCAGGAAAAAACCTTTTCTTTAAATAGTTACATTTTAATTATACATATTTCAAACGCATAACTTGCTTTCCAAAGACTTGCCCTCTATTCAGCAATATATATCCAGAACCTTAAAAAACGTTTATAGCTGTTGAACAAAAATTTTGTTTCTGGGAAGAAATCTAAGCTGCCCATAAAGATTTATGTATCAGGATGTATATAATTGTAAAAAGTCTAAATTTTCAAAATAAATGTACAACAGTAGGGAAATAAATTCTAATTTTTCCATACTAAAGTTTGATGCAGAACTACCTATGGCTTGCTAAAAAAATAGATTTCTAAGTCCCACCCTGATACACTCATTCAGAATCAGCCCAAGTGGCCTTTTGAGTACTCTGCAGGTTGAGATCCACTAATCTGTAGAATGAATTTTTTTAACCATTAAAAATCATAGTTGGGGCCGGCCCTGTGGCTTAGTGGTTAAGTGCACACGCTCCGCTACTGGCGGCCCGGGCTTGGATCCCGGGTGCGCACCGATGCACCGCTTATCTGGCCATGCTGAGGCCACGTCCCACATACAGGAACTAGAAGGATGTGCAGCTATGACATACAACTATCTACTGAGGCTTTGGGGAGAAAAAGGGAAAAAAAGGAGGAGGATTGGCAATAGGTGTTAGCTCAGGGCCAGTCTTCCTCAGCAAAAAGAGGAGGATTGGCATGAATGTTAGCTCAAGGCTGATCTTCCTCACACACACAAAAAAATCATAGTTAGTATTTTCCCCATAAATATGTACAAGAAGGAAATATACCCAGATGCTAGCAGTGTGTTGTTGGGATTTTTTATACTTTCATTTTCATTTTGAAAATTTGATACAATGAGCACTTATTACTTATGCAATTATTAAATGAGTTTTTTTTTTTTTTTTAAAGATTTTATTTATTCATTTTTTTCCCCCCAAAGCCCCAGCAGATAGTTGTATGTCATAGGTTCACATCCTTCTAGTTGCTGTACGTGGGACTCGGCCTCGCGCTGGACGGAGAAGTGGTGCCTTGGGGCGCGCCCGGGATCCGAACCCAGGCCGCCAGCATCAGAGCGCGCGCACTTAACCGCTAAGCCACAGAGCCGGCCCAAAATGAGTTTTATTTATAAAAAAAGATTTACTCTAAGGGTAGCTTTAGAGTCACCTATTTAGCCCCAGGGATCTTCCATGACTGTAAACATTTCTAATGGGTTAAAACTTATTTTTATTTGCAATTTCTGTCAGAGTAGCAGTTACCAAGGCAGAAGAAATGACTGGGTTTATTTATGAAATAAATGTGCTGCCCACTACGAGCATGCTGAAAGGGGATTATCTAAGTGAATTTCTCAGATAATCCATATCCATAAACTACTTCGCCTGAGTTCCCTGCATAACTGTAAGGAAATATAATAGCTTTATCTGAATTAAGTAGACTCTATTTTGACGTTAGAAATCTCTGTTGTCATTTTTAATGAGACAGTTTCTTTTGATTTAAAACGTCTCAGACTTTTGGTTCCCATGTGTGGCTCTCATGTGCTGTGGTTTCTTAGAATAGGAAAGATTTTGAAACTGGACTCTGCACTTTTGCCTCTGTCTGACATTCCCCGCCCTGGCAGAAGAGTAGACACACAGAAAACAGGCATTTAGACATACTAGGGTGTTGACAGCTGCCCCATATATTGCTCAAGACATAAGCAGTTGAAACCAGAAGGCCACTTGTTGAGAATTTGTTCTAACCTTTAGACAGGTTGAAATTTCCTTTGCCCTGTTTCCAGGTTGAGCAGATCTTAAGGCTTTTCTGTCATTGAGTGTTTGGAAAGTAATAGCTTTGAAGATTCCCATGATTACCATTCTTCTGAATGTTTTATTAGGAATTACCCTTTATCACATTACTCCTTTAACATATGCTGTATATGTGAACACAAATAAATACGTAATGTCTGTCTTCTAGGGTGGAAGTGAAAAACTGAACATTGCCAAAGAAAAATTTTAAGTGAAGATATTTTAAGGGGTATATACTAGCTTGGCCTGTTTGCTGGCTTGTTTGTGTTTTTATTCCCTCCCTCTTTTTATTTCTATTTTTAAAAATTTAGTAAATTTAATAACAACCAATTATTAACCAACTATATTATAGCTAATATTTATTGAGTACTTACTATGTACCAGGCATTATCTCATTTAATCTTCACAATAACCAAATGAGGTAGTTACGGTTATCTCAGTTTCGCAGATGATGAAACAGTCTCAGAGAGGTTTCGTAATTGTCTAAAGTTTCACAGCTCATGAGAGACAGAACTGGATTCACATTCAGGTCCACAGTCTGGTCCATCACTGACACTGCCTCTTAATCTAACAATGGTAGTCCTAAACCTCTTCGGCTCAGTGGATGGAATTGTTTCAGTGATAAATTGCTCTTGTATACAGTGATTACTAAGCTAACAACAACAAAACATTTTTTCCCAACTGTATCCAAGTGTTCCAATAGCAGATATGCCATGGTATGTTCAGTGGTTATTTGCAAGGTATCATCACCTAGGTTAACATTAAAACATATTTCTCTGATAAAAGGTATTGTTGATTTATAATTTCCTAAAATAAAATTAGATTCTTTTCTCTTAAATAACATTTTATTTCTAATTATGAAATTAATGCCTATTTATTAGATGCTTTTTTGTGTGTCATAAGAAAGCAGTCTAATTAAAAGATATCTATAAGTATGCAAATAAATTTTTTTACTCAACTTTTCAAAAAAGCTTCTAAGATTAATATTTTGCCATTTTTTTCTTTGTCTTTAACTGGAAAATATATCATACAGCCAAAGAGAATATGTATGTATGTGTATTTTTTAAAGGATAGCAATGAAACAAACACACATCATCCCACTACAGCCACATCTTCAGTTGTGCAGGCTGTAGCCACGTGAATGGCATCTCCTGGTGCTGTGCACAACATGCAGGACCGTACAGAGCAGCCCTGTCCCTGCCACTGAATTTAGGAAATAGAATGTTACTGTACCTTTAAGCTCCTTGTGTGTCAATCCCACTCTCCTTACTCCACCATCTTGAATTTTGGGTCATTTAACTGCATTTCTTCATAATTTTAGAGCAAGTTATATCCTTAAATAATAATTTTGTCTATTTCTTATATATTTTTGAAAGTAAGCAATCATACTTTAGGTTTTCTTCAGTTAATGGCTGTTTTTTTCCTCAGAATTGCTTGTGAGATTCATCTCTGTTGATGCATGTAGCTGTCGTTCTCTCCTATTCATTTTGCTCTATAATATTAAGTCACATAAATATCCAACTTATTAGTTTACTGTATTATTGATAGGTTGTTTATCGTTTCTAGTTTTGCTATGAAAAGTTAGAGTGCTATGAACATTCTTATGTCTTTCTTGCTGGTGCAAGAGTTTTTTTTAGGGAATGTAATCAAGAGTAGACCTTCTGGCTTGTAGAGCATGGGCACAGTCAACTTGTCAAGTGTTGCAAGATTGCTTCCCCAGGTGGCTACGTGATTTACACACTCAATAGCAATGACGGCTTTTTCATCATTTTTTCATTTTTCACCTTTTTTCATTTTGTGCCAATCTAATGGGTAGCTAGTGTTATTTCATTACTTATCTCTGATTACTGGTGAGATTGAACAGGTTTTCATTTGTTTATTGGCCACTGATATATATTCCTTTTGTGTAAAATGCCTTTTTCTGTCTTTTGCCTGTTTTTCTCTTGGGTTGTTGGGTTTTTTTAGTTTTCTAAATGAATTTTGAAAATTCTTTGCATATTTTATACTGTTCCACTCTATTAGAAAATATATTACCAACAAACATATTTGTAAATATGTATTGCAAATATATTCATCAAATTTTTATTATCTTTTCACTTTCCTTAGTGTGATTTTTAGTAAAGTGGCATTCTTAATTTAATTTTTGTAGAATTTATTAATCTTTTAATTTATGGCATACTATCTATGTCTTATTTAATAAATCTTCCCCTAACTTGAGGTTACAAGGATAATTTTCTTATAATTCAAACTTCAAAACTTTTGCTTTTCATAGTTATGTCATTAATTTATCAGGAATTGAGTTTTGAATATGGTATTAGTTTGAAATATTTCATTAAAAAGCCTCTGTATTTGGATATTTAAAAAGAAATAATTGTTACTAAAAAAAATTGTAATACACCAAAAGTAAGTCTGCCCTCTATTTGTGATTCCTGGTGTTCTCTTTCTCTGTTAAAAATTGTACATTTTTACTTCTAAAGTAGGCAAAAAATTAGTTCTTAGCTTTCTAGGTAATTATTTAATCTCATAATTTTCTTGGCAATGTTATACCAATTTTAAGAGAGTATTATGCTCTTTAAGGGAGTAGAAAATTTCGAGGTGATTTTTTTCCTGCATAAACTAGAGTTTGAGACTAGCGTGATTTTTTGACATGCCATTAAATGTGACTTTCTTAGCAGAAGCTAAGTGAGAGGCAACTGGTGTAATCAGGAACCTGTGGGGTATGAAAACAAAGTGTAGTCATTACCTCTCTTAATTTTTTTTTGACGGAGTCATGAAATAAATGGGTTTTTGCACATCTAGAGGCTAATTTTAATATATAAAAGTTAAGGAATATAACTGAGCAAGAATATGTTGTGATTTATTCAGATGTATGATTGACTTATTCTCCACATCCTCAAGAATGCTCTGTTTCCAGGGGTCCTGCCAAAGCAAGAACCATGGCTTATTTTGGGGAAGGAAAAGGACCCATCCACGTGGATAATGTGAAGTGCACAGGAAACGAGAGGTCCCTGGCTGACTGTATCAAACGAGATATTGGAAGACACAACTGCCGCCACAGCGAGGATGCAGGAGTTATTTGTGATTATTTTGGAAAGAAAGCATCAGTTAACAGTAATAAAGGTAAGTCACCTTCTGGGGCCTATACAAGTCAAAAATACTAATTCCCACTTTGTTATTATAAGCAGTACTTTGATAACAAAAATCCCCTTCCATGAGGATATATACAATCCCTTGTTCTTTGCGTTAGAATTTAGAGGCGGTGGTTCTTGACAAACTTGCCCGGGTGGAGCTTACAGGGAGAGCAGAGTTCAAGGGCAGGAATGGGTTTACGGGATTTTGTAATCTCTGGGATCTTCCCTTTTTGACATTCTCAGTCATTTCTGTACCATTCCTTCTCTGGATGTAATAAAACTGACAAACTTGTTGGTGTCCTTGAAGATTCAGAATTGATATTTACTTCATCAAAAGAAGGCAAGAAATTAAAATTTAAAGATGAATCACAGAAAGGAACTTCTTCCATACTTACAAATATTTTAAACAACAGGGATAATTTTTAAAATTAGTTGCAAGAAAAATTATCTTTTGTAGATTTTATTCTCTGGAATTTAAAAATGTAAGGAATATGAGAAATAATCTTTTATTATAATACAGTAATAGATGTTTCAAACATAAATAAAGAGTAAGAGTTCTTGAAAGCTCTGAGTTTTTTTTTTCTAACGTTTTTTTTTTTTTGTGAGGAAGATCAGCCCTGAGCTAACATCCATGCCAATCCTCCTCTTTTTGCTGAGGAAGACAGGCCCTGAGCTAACATCTATTGCCAATCCTCCTCCTTTTTTCCCCTTTTTCTTCCCAAAGCCCCAGTAGATAGTTGTATGTCGTAGTTGCACATCCTTCTAGTTGCTTTATGTGGGACTCGGCCTCAGCATGGCCGGACGAGCGGTGCGTAGGTGCACGCCCAGGATCTGAACCTGGGCTGCCAGTAGCGGATCGTGGGCACTTAACCGCTAAGCCACGGGGCTGGCCCCAACTCTGAGTTTCATTTTTATGAAACAAATGCTACTTTAACTGAATAAGGAGAAGAACTAGCTATTTTGGAGAAAACTATGGTATATTTCATGAAAAGGACAGTCATCTATTTATATGGATTGAAAGTTCACAGTTTTGATACATTGAATTTCCTTAAAATCTATATCTAAGCATTCTCTTTTTCTAACATCTTTTGGTAACTGCCAAAGACAATGCAATGAATAAATTGGATGTTGTTAGTATGATTCTTCCCTATCTACTGAGGGGCTTTTGAGTGTGGAGAGGAATACTTACAACCCTTTGTACTTTGTTTTATATATACATATTATGTATATATAACACATATTACATATATATGTAATAAATATGATTTGGTAAGCCAATTTTTCCTAAGTATTGATTATAACTTAATTTATTAAATTCTCTTCAATAATTTAAACAATAATTACAAATTGAATATAACTAATCCTTTGGATTATGTCATATTTCTTTTTTTTTTTAAAGATTTTATTTATTTTATTTTTTCCCCCCAAAGCCACAGTAGTTAGTTGTATGTCCTAGCTGCACATTCTTCTAGTTGCTGTATGTGGGATGCGGTCTCAGCATGGCCGGAGAAGCGGTGCGTTGGTGCACGCCTGGGATCCGAACCCGGGCCGCCAGCAGCAGAGCGCGCGCACTTAACCACCAAGCCATGGGGCCGGCCCTGGATTATGTCATATTTCTTAAGCAGTAGAAAAACATAAAAATTGAATAATTGTAAAATGTTTACTATATTTCTATGTAAACCTATTTTTAAATATGAAATACCATGTTTATTTCTTCATTATTTATACATTTGTTTTCATGCCTTCCCAGAGTGGCAGCAATGCTTATTTTGATATCTTACCATGGTTCCAATGCTACCATACCTCAAATAAAAAGATTTCATCTTAGACCAGCTAGATTACTGAATTTGGCTTATTGCCCTGTTGATTTTGTGTTGAGGCTCAAGACCTAGTGACTTATATAAGATGCTTCAAACTCAGGCCATTGGTTGTTGGTCATCTGATGGGATCCTTTTATAAAGGAACTTCATTTTGCTTTTTAATTTTTTGTCACAGTGGATTTTATGGCTTTAAATAGATTTTACTTTTTGCGATCTGGTGCTTTGCTTCAGAATGATGTAAACTTTGAGTTTTGCTTGCTCAGTATTACCTCATTCCTCGTCTTGGCATTATATGCATTGACCTGACTTGGAGCATTATTGGAAACTTATGTGTTTCTGTCTTATAATTTGCAGTGTCATCTAGAGGACTCACATCTTAAGAAATGAGGATTAAAGTTTGACAGCATGCCTCTGAGATTTGGCAAAATAATGATCTTGGTACACACTTTCCAACCTCTTTCTCTGGAGAAATAACTAGTGCTGATTCCCTATTGAGCTCCCTTCTGCCCAGTTGTTATGGGAGACCATTAGTGCTGACTAGATTTTCATGGTCTTGGCACAGTTCCCACCCTCCTCTTCTTCCACAGATAGAAAAACAGTATATATCTACACTTTATACACATGTACTTAACCAAAGAAACAAAATACCCCTATATAGATTCTCCTATTTTCTAAAATTATTTTAAAAATGAGTCAGACCTTATTTTATTTACTCTTCTTTTGTACACCACCTTTCATATATTTTTAATTTAAATCTTCTTTTTTTAATGCTCTTGACAGAAGTCCGTTATCTTGGGAAGTTTGATTATATATCCTTAAATACAGTTTGTTACTTAAATTAGCTCAGTAATAAACCCTTTACATATATTAATCTGCCGTACAAGTAAATGTAAATTTAGATCAGAATTCCATCCTGGGAATGTGCCTTGCTCCTCTGAGTTACATTTGTATATGTGGCTTGTAAGAGTGTTGTATGTGAAAAGCAAGTAATTTAGACCATTATTGCCTTGTTTTGTTTAATGTTCCTGAATGCCAAAACAATTTCTGTAATCAGCAGAGGAGGAGATGTAGGGACCTACAAGGATGACGTGCTGGACAGGGTCAAACCGTTCAGCAGCCTCTGAAGCCCCTTCAGAGCCGCATGTGGGAAACCTCATCAAGTTCCTCGTCTGCTTGAGAATTATTGTTGCCTTGGCTGAATGAGAAAACAACTGTTTATTTTTGTTATAAGAAAGGTAGGCTATAATTTCAGGAGAAAAGGCGTTTTAAACAGAGCAGGAAGCAGCAGGGGCATGTGTCACTTGTGTCTCTACCCCACTGTTAGCCACATGCTAGTTTAATTAATACCTATTTCTGCTCAGAGTCCCTCTCCTCTGTTTGCGGGTTGAGATTACTGCACCGTCGGCAGAAGCGGATCATTGGTGGGAAAAATTCTTTAAGGTAAAAGGTTCTTCAGAAGAGATTTTCCATATTACAGAATTATTTATATACATACAGGGTTACAAATTGGGTATTTTCTACTATGATGTAGGGATTTATTTTACTTTTTTCAGTTTCTAAATTACATACATATTACGCTGATAATCTCACTGTCCTTCAACCTACATTCACTTTATGTGGACCATGTTCTTGTCTCACTGTCCCCTGATTTATGAGGTAGATATATTGCTGAAAAGTTATGTGGCAGAAACAAACTAATTTAACAGGAGATCTGAAACAATGTATAACTACAAAACTCATTTAGTTTAGAATATATGGGTTTCGGACTTGACTCATTTTAGTATAATTTTTTTGTTTGTTGAATATACTAGTGGAAACCAGCACTTTGTTTATTAAATACTTCTTCAGGCTGCTTAGGTGAGATAGAGTGAGGAGAGAAAACACACATCAAATCGTGAAATATGAGGAAGACTCAACTTGTTTCTGAGAATGTAGAGATAGATGGGATGCATACAAATGCCTTTAAACAAATCTTCAGGGTGGTCTGCTCAGAATTGTAGAGGCACCTTCTTAAAATAGGAAGGGATCCTACATCCTAGCGTCCCTGTTACACTCCTTTTCTTCCACCTACAAGCCTTGTAAGTCATTGTTTTAAGGGGTGCTTTTCTGCCTTTTACAATACTGATGAGTGGCTTACTTTCTTCTTAGGGGTGGCTGGCCTTGGCAAGTGTCCCTCCGGCTCAAGTCATCCCATGGAGATGGCAGGCTCCTGTGTGGGGCCACACTCCTGAGTAGCTGCTGGGTCCTTACAGCAGCACACTGCTTCAAGAGGTATGTGTCCACCTTTCCAGACAATTCAGTTTGGCTCTTATTTGCCAGTTCTTCCACTCCCTTCCTGCTCTACAGCATCCTAGAAACTTAGGGTCTCAGGACCAGGCTCTAGGCCTTCCTTGTCTGTGCCAGTGGCACCATGGAAGGGCAGGACGTGATGTGAGGAGCAAAGAGAGCCCTCAGGAAGCTACTTGCTATCCAAATGTTAAAGCAAACTTGAGATTTAGGGAGAAGAGAAGATGGGTTTTTGGAGGGGAGGCAGCTATATTAGTGCTTCCCGAAAAAAGTATCTGCGAGTGAAATCATATCCCTGTAGAGCTAGAAGAGACCTCAGGTCATCTCGTTGTGAATGCTAAGGAGTCGGGAGTGCAGTTTTAGTGTTTTTGATCCTTTGGGTCTTCTTGGTGTTTTGTGTCTTTTAGATTTCTCTATTTGCCCCTTCTAGAAAGTCAGCTTGGATCCTGATTATTTCCTTTTGCCCCAGACGTTTTATCAGTTCAGTCTGTAGTCTTCCTAGTTCAGAGGGGAGGGCCGGCAGAGAAAATCAGCGTGTCGAGCTGCACTAGAACCTGACTCTCCTTTCTCCTTGTCCTGTGCTCTGTCGTGGGCCCTGCTAAACGGCCATTCCCTCAGCATGAATTTTGGTATTTAAAAATGTATAGCAATGCTTGGCAGAATATTGAAGCAAGGTGATGAGTATAAGGAGTTTCACTATACTATTCTAATTTTGTCTATTTAAAAATGGTCATAATAAAAAGCTTTAAATAAAATGTGTACCATATTGCTGAAGAATTCTTACAAGCAAAAACTTATTTTATATTTTTTCATGTGATATCATATGGCCTCATGGTTTATTTGTACTCCATCCATGTAGATTTTGTTCACTATAACTGCTTATGAATTTTAACTCTGATTGTAAGATTAAACCACAGTTTATTTATTCCCTTGCTGATGGCTAGTTAGGTGGTTTCCATTCTTTCTCTGTTAAAAAACAGTGCTGCAGTAGATAGCCATTATGTGTCTCACTGGGTACATACATGTGGGAGCATTTTGCTGGGTCCTGGAGTATGGGCGCCATTCAATTTTATCAGGCACTACTAATTTACTTTCTAAAGTAATTATATCAGTTTATATCCCGGCAACGTGTGAGTTCCTGTTTTCGCATGTCCCCACCTCAACTTGATGCTATCAACATTTTTAATTTTTGCCAATCTTAGAGTTTTTGGATTCCTTTTTAATTCCGTTTCCCTGATTAATCTCCTCCTCTTTCATGAATTCTCTGTTTATATTCTTTGCTTATTTTTCTATTGGGTTTTCTTTTTGTAATTGATTTTAAAATTTTTGGATATGTTCTCTGTACAAAATCTTTATTGTTATGTGTTACAAATACGTTTTCTCAATCTGGAACATGTCCTTGCGCTTGTTTAAGGTCTTTTTCTTAGAAAGGTATTTTAATTTTACTATATTTAAATGTGTCAGCTTTTTAAGTTTTATAAAAGCTTTGTGTATCTTACTTAAAAAATCCTTCTCTAGCCCCATAATAAAGGTACTATCTTAGTTTTTTACTAAAACAATTTACAGTTTTGCTTTTCATGTTTAGATTTTTAATCTGTTTATAGTTTATTTTTGTGTATGGTATATGGTATTAAATTTATACTTTTCTTTATGGATAGTTTTCCCAGCACTTTTTATAGAACATTCCATTTTTCACCCACTGATTTATGTCAACTATATTGTGTGCCAAGTTCTCATATATCTTGGTCTCTAGGATCTCTATTCGCTTCCTCTTATCTATTTTGATAAATATTTATGGAGTAATCTTCCATGTTCAAGGTGCTGCAGAAGACACAAGTCCATATTTTACATAGCCTTTGTCATTTCTGGGATAATAATTGAGTTTGAGAGTTTGAGAGTTCATCTATATACCAGTGAGTTTAATACATTCATGTGTTACGTGAATGGCACAGACAATAGAGATTATATTCATTCATTAACTTAACAAAAAAGTATTGAGCCCCTAATATGCCCAGGAATATGCTGTGCGCTAGAGATATGGTGGAAAACAAGACAGATAGGATCCTTGCTTTCATAAGAGTTTTCAGTGTAGCTATAGGAGCCCAGAGGAGGGAGGCATTAATGTTGCTGACATGACAGGATCGAAAAAAGTTTAGGGCACCATTTTTAAAGTGTGGTCTTTTTCACCCCAATATTAGATACATTCAGCTTGTTAAAAATCTAGATTCCTGGGTCCCTGCTCCAGATCTTTTGAATCTTTGGAGCTGAGACCTGGGAGTTTGCATTTTTATCCAGGCTTTCAGATGATTCTTATGTACACTAAAGGTTAAGATCCACTTGCTTAGTGGATGGTCTGGACGTTTGAAGAATGATGACGAAGAAGAATGTAATGGAGGTGACAGGATACTTATCCTTGTCCTATTCAACATATTAATCACTAAACTGAAAAAGGACACTGATAGTAAGTTAATTATAGTTTTGTATCCCAGGAGGTTGGGAGGGACAAGTAATATGCTGGAAGATAGGATCCACAATGGCAAAAGATCTTGATAGGCTGATTCTAACAAGCAGTATGGAATAAGGGCCAAGTAAAATGTTGCCTTTAGTTCCACGAAACTTGGCCTAAATGCAGCACAAGTGAAAAAGACCTCATGGGTTTTAGTGTCCTGCAACCTTAATATGAGTCAGCAGTCTAATGTGGTTGTCCAAAAAGTTAATCGGTCTTGGGCAGCTCTGACAGAACAGTGTCCTGACAAAGCAGCGAAGAGCCTTGCTATTCTGTCTTACAGTGCTCAGCACTGTCACTATCAAGCAGAGAGAATGTGCTCGGTTCTGGGTGCCACACCATGAAAAAGCAATGTGCTGCACCAAGGAAGGCAAGCAGAAAGGGAGATTGTGTGGAATCAGATTAGATTTGTTACCTGTTGCTTCAGATAACACAGATGTTAATAGGAGATAAGATAATTTTTATTTTAACATAAGGGCTTTTGTTGTTGTTTATTTTTTTATTTCTTTAACATTAGGACAGTTCAAAGATGGAATGAGCTATATATGTGGGAGGAAGAGTGAGTTTGTTTGTGGAGTCCGTTCAAGCAGGGAGGCTGGATTCGTGTATTGTTAGACACTGGAGGTAGGTGATGTCTACTGTTGAGAGCATAGTTGTGAGAAAGCATTAGGCATATCTGAAGGATGGCAGTTATTAGTTAGGGCTGTGGATCTAGAATTTGTGTAGTGGACTGACAGTAGAGAAGCAGGAAAGGTCTGGAATGTCAGGGTAGTGAATTTGTTTCATTCACTAGGGGGTGAGAAACCACTAAAGGTTTTTGAGCCTTGAAATATGATCAAGAGGAGTTTTAGGAGATGAGTCATTTGGAGATGAATGGGAGATCTGAGGGAGTAAAGCAAAGTTATTAATCTAGGGGTCTATGAATGAACTTCAAATTATATGAAAAGTCTTTGCAGACATGCTTATACGGAGTGACTCAAATTGCCGATATTACCAAGTGATTAAGACCCACTATGGTAGGACAGGAGGGAGACTGGTTATAAGGCTATTGTAATAGAGATAGAAGATGGAAAAGAAAAGGAGGGAGAGAAGGTAGAGACTCTGTGATAGAAATCAGTAGAACTTGGTGCTGCATACCAAGAGACTTGGACCTGGCCATCAAGACCAGGATTACAGTTCTAGCTCCTCCAATTGTTAATTGTTTAACTTTGTGGAAATTATTTCACCTCCTGGAGCCTCAGTTTTCTCATCTGTAAAATGAAGGCAATTATGTCCCACAGTGAGGAACAAATGATCTGCAGAGTATGTGAAAGTGTTCTATAAACTGTAAAAGTCCAAACAAACGTTGGCTCAGATTATATTGGGGTTCAAAAGAGAAATTAAAGATTATTATTAGCAAAAGTAGGGAATTCAGGATGATTTCATTCCACTTACTAATAGAGAGGAATGAGATGGGGAACTGCAGAAAACCTGGAGAAGCCTGTCTTGGGGCTTAGAGTTTAGGAAAAATAATTCAGTCGGTTCATTTTAGATTATCCACCTCTTGTTCAAGACTCCTTGTTTTTCAAGTCTCTGCTAAAAGTTATAGTCTTAGGGGTTCAAGGCTTAAAGTATTTAAAGTAGGGAAGTTGCCCAAAATTCCACTTGAGGTTGAAAACTTTGATCTCACTTTTGGGCTCCCTGGAGGGCCTTCCTCCTTTTTTTTTGGTACATGCTTGGATTTGTTTGTTTACAAGTCATTATTCCTCCCGTGGCCTGCTCCATCTACATTATTGCTTAAAGTAAGTGTCTCATTTGTGTTTATAAACCAAGTGTCTAGTATATTACTTGGCACATAGTAGATACCCCTTAAATGATTGTTGCGTGATGAAAGGGGGGCTCAGTTGCCAGATAGTGGATATATTTAAGAATGTTGGACTCTTTAGAGGATGGTGGTATTTTAAACCTAGATCACCAGATAAGTCCTTCCATATGTCATTCTGAATTTCTTCCCATTATCTGCACAGTATAAGATAAAGACAGTTGATTCAAAAGAAAAGAAAAGATATGCAGCATTTTGATGTACTTAGATATAATGCAAGACTCTTTTAATGTGAGTAGGGAGAAAATTGTTTTGCAGTTGTGATATGTGTCCATCTGACTTGATCTGTAACCTTTACCCAACTTCATAGACTTCCTGTTTTGAAGTCCTAAGGAGGCTACAACTCACATTTTTATTGCAGTAAGTTTATTAAAAGGCATAAGGACAGTTACCAGTGATTAGAACAAGCTCCAAATTCTGTTTTTCTGGGTTCAAGGACTTTGAAACAACCCTCCTTTGATCATCAGAAACACTGAAATTTCCAAAAATAGATAGATTTCCTCTGGAATTGTAGAGACTGGAGTGTAGATGTGATTAGTAACCTCTGAGAGGTTCCTTTCCTATCAGATTTCTTGGGAGTCCAATTTAAAACCTACTGTTAGGGGACCTAGATTTCAT